TCCTTACGTGTATCAAATATTTTTTTGCAAGACCGTTATATAATAGTAAGTACCTAAACCATTTTGTGATATAGCAAAACAGTTTTTCCCGCTTCTACTCCGATGACTCGCCTTAATAAATTTATCTGTAGAGCGAGAAGCTTTATTAAAAAAATACATATTAGGTTTAATACATTTCTCTAACCGAATATAGCTTGTCAAAACGGAGGGAAAATTACTCAATTTTAATTGTATTATTTCAATACAATAACCCTGTAGTTAAATACGTTATCAACTACGGACATGCTTACTATAGACTTTTAAACGTACCTGTTTTAATGCTGACCAAGCCGTCTCTATGTAGGTAAGACCGTGTAACTAGCTCCACATTTCCACTCCACGTGTTTGTTGTGAAATGTTTACTTGTTTGATATGCCTATTATAAGAAAGTATTATATAGGTACATACGCACTACCTGTATAGTGTGAGTTATTCCATTTATGGAAAGCTAAAATTTTGGTCAACACCTACCTGATTGGGATTCTCATGTATCACAACACATTAACCTCTCTTGCACCCCTGTTTTTTCGCTGACATGGACACCTTGTAAATTAAAATATATACATAGTAATATTATAATAACATAGTAATCACAATAATTAAAAAGTAATAGAAAATACAACCTGCCATTATGCTTAGCGTTTGTGGACTATGAGAAAGCCTTTGATTCGATCGAGATTTGGGCAGTACTACAGTCTCTACAACGGTGCCACATTGACTATCGATATATCGAAGTGTTTGTACAGAAAAGCCACTATGTCAGTTCGACTCCAGGACCAATACACAAGGCCTATCCAATTGCAAAGAAAAGTGCGACAGGGAGACGTCATTTCTCAGAAATTATTCACCACTGCATTGGAAGCTGTCTTCAAGTTACTGAACTGGAAAGAACTCGGCATCAACATCAATGACGAGTACATTACTCGCATTCGATTTGCTGACGTTATATCGTGGTTAAGGCAGAATCGTTGGAAGAGCTTGGCACCATGCTCGGTGACCTCAATACAGTTTCCAAGCAGGTAGGTCTAAAAATGAACATGGACAAGACGAAACTTATGTCGAATATCCATGTCGTACCCACCCCTATAACAGTCTACTCTCGATGTTGTTGACGAGTATGTCTACCTCGGACAAACCAGCCAATTAGGCAGGGCCAATTTCGAGAAGGATGTCAATCGTCGAATCCGGGTTCGATTGGGCAGCTTTCGGGAAGCTCCGGGACGTCTTCTCGTCCACAATACCGCAGTCCTTGAAGACAAAATTCTTCGAGCAGTGCGTGTTGCCAGCCGTGTGCAGTGTTGGGCCTCATAAAAAAGCTCGAAGTTGCTGAACGAGAGGTTCTTGAATGGAGACCACGAACCGAAAGGCGTTCAGTGAGACCACCGCCTACTAGATGGATGGATGTCCTGGTAAGGGCGGCTGGTAATCGATGGATGCATGTCGCGTCCGATCGGCTGCTCTGGAAATCTTCGAGGGAGGTCTTTGTTCAGCAGTAGACGTCTTCCGGCTGATATGATAATGATGGGAAAATACAACTAAGCGATATGGACAAAAAGTTTAACGACATCAGCACGGATTTTCAGTCTTTACCCATAGTTAGCTAGCTTGCTGCACTAAGCCAGTGTGCGGGGTATACACCAGCTATATCTAATTTAGGTAATAACTAGTAATAAGTTAAAGTTTAAAGGCTGCCGGCTCTCCGTGTAAAATTACTTTTTTTATTTTTGTAGGTTGGAATGGACCCAATATGAACACTTTGGGAAGCGTCGGCCTAAACTATGGATGTCAGTTTCAAACTAACAGCAGAGTTTTAAAACTTTGATGAGTTTCAAGGATTTAAGGCATACTTTACTATGAAAAACTAATTTGTTTTGTTCCAGGCGCGTTTAAATGTTTATCCTTCAGTAAATTACTTACATATACTCATGCCTTTGGATCTGTTTACCCCGCAGGGGCTATCCGTCCCATTTTGCACGATCCTGATAAATCTCTTTTGCTTAACTTACATTCAATAAACTTTTCGTATAATTCTACTGAGTAGAGTATGACATAAAAATGCGTGTTATCATTTTTATGATGTTTATTGAAGGTATGGAAGTAGAAACGTATGCACTATATTGTTATCGAATCACGACATTAATTTAAATATTTTATTTATCCGACGACCTCCATGATCAAGTTAAGAGTTCGTCCAGTAATGTCAGCATTACTGTCTCTGGTTTTGAAGGAAAAGGGTGCTGGTGAAAGTACAGGCAAATGAGACTTATCAACTTATGTCTCAGAGTGACGGGCGCAGTAGAAATGCCCCTCAAATTTTTGCGATTTAATATTGATATAATAAAAAAAATGGGTTGCACACCGGTTTTCATGGTGTTGCCCTCTCTGAGGTGCCGGGTTCGATCCTCGTCAATCCCCGTCAATATTGAAAAAGTTACTTTTCTATTCTCTCGGATCTTGGTGTTTGTGGTATCGTCGTTGTTTCCATTTTCCATAACACAAGTGCTTTAGGCTCTTACTTTGAGATCAAAGCAACATAGTGATGTGGTCTAATAAAATATTTATTTTGTTCACTTTGTTTCATTAAGAATTATGTTTTATCGAAATAAGAAATAAAAAAAACGGTGTTAACGGCACGCTGACGGGCGGCCGCCGTTGCGAAAAACCATCTTTGACGAGATAGGAAATTATGTTGTTTCATTGACTTACAATTATATGGACGTCGGGTCCGCGCTAAAAAGTGTCCGCACTAGTAAGGCGCTAAAATCGTATACAGAGCGCCAAACTGCGCTTTAGTCTTTATTTGTTCGACTGACAGCGCGATATTGCGATGACATTACAATTTAAATTTCGAATAGGTTGACTTGGGACATTTCTTTCGTGGTTTTTGTATTAGACCCGTCGTCCATTTATTTGTAAGTCAATGTGTTGTTTTGTTTGAATTTATAGTGAAAAGATGTTTTAATAATTTATAGCAGTCACTGATGGTCCATTTCTATGTCTACTGTAAAGATTTTATTTATAGTCTCGTGGTTTGTATAGTTATATTGATAATATTGATATTTCAAAATTGTAATGATTAACGTTGTACTAATTTTTGTTTTGTGTCTTGAACTCTGCAAATGCTTCTTAGCATAACATTGTTTATCTTTTCGCTTTAGACAGTAATGCCAACATTACCAAAATCCAAATAACTCAGTGCCCATGTAAATGCGTACAATAGTTGCTGGGACATTAAATAATTTAACAAAGAACTATAATTTTTTTTCTTAATCTATTTTCCGATTCGGGGTGACTTCGACATGTATCAACACGGTGTAGACGTTGACAATTTGTAATTCGATTTTCATGTTAATTAACTAACATAATTTTAATGTTTTTATGATACCAAGTGAAGGGACGAACATATTGTGTGCTTGGTAGTAAGCGACGTCTCTCCATAGCAGTTGCAGTGCCACGCAGAGCTTTAAATCGCAAGGATGTATGATGTGTGTCAGAGTGACGGGCGAACTCTTTCTCGAGGAGCTCTGCTGCTATTAAAATAGATTTCTCAGATTTTTGCGATTGCTACACATTTGATATGAAACTTTTTTAGATTTAAAATCAGTCATTCATGAGCCCGAAACGTTGGTTTGTTTAAAAATAAATACCCCACAATAACCCACGTAGGTGTGACATGTCACAAGATGTGTGAATGGGGGTCCAGGGGTGTTACACTAATCTAATGTGACTGCGGTGCCCCAACACAGTCTATGCAGCACTTGCTCGTGTGCACCTGGTGCCCTAACAACATATTAGAATATAAGAAGTAGGTTGCCCTACTTTTAGATGCCTCCAAGCAAACTAACAGCGCAGCTTGTATGTGTGCGCAGCCGTCGCGCGCAGTGTACGGACGCACACGCGTGCAAAGGCGCATTGATACGACCAGTGTTGTGCAACGTTAGAGCACCACCGTTAACATATGCAAATGTGTGCGTACGTACACGGCGGACGCGCAACATGCTAGCCACGCTGCGACGTTAGTACCTACGGAGTTGCCATACTTGTTCTTATTCTACTGTACTAATAATACATGTACGAGGGAAGATGTCGACGCGGCCGCGGATAGCGGAGTCAAGGTGGCAACATACTGTTCAAAGTCAGTATAGTCCTAAAATAGAAGAAGCATTGACACGATATGAAGGCAAATCAATGTTTTTCAGAATCCTTTCCTAAAATGCAGTTTTAATTGTGTGGAAATTACGTATACATATTATTAATGCTGTCAATCCTCGGCGCCGGTTCCGCCACGCCATAGAAGCGCAAAATTTGCATTTAGACTCTGTTGCAGATTGTCACAATTTGCCCCTTTGATTCCCTGATTTATAGCCCGGCGTTAAACGCTAACGCGAGTGGACAACCCGCAAATTACAATCGTTCATTGGCGGTTGTTTGACCAATGGTTTTGTCCTTAATTCCAAAAGTTCCGGTGTGATCTTACTACTTTGATCGCGTTGTCTAAATAAACTCCTGTTGTTGAACATGGCGTCTTTTACTTAAATGGATAACTTCTGATTCATCACCTAATTATTAAGTTTATTTTCCGGAAAACTTTTTTTTTATAATATCAAGTGACGGGGCGAACAAGTCATGCGCCTGATGGTAAACTACACGCCTGTTCATAACAGTTGCATTGCCACCAGAGCTTTAAATCGCAAAGATCTTAGGGGTACTGCCATTGCACCCGTCAGTCTGAGACAAGTTGACAAGTCCAATGTGCCTGTAATTTTACCAGCACCCTTAATCTTCAAAACCGGAACACAGTAATGTTCACATTATTGCTTCGCGGCAGAAATAGGTAAGGTGGCACTTCCCTGGACGAACTCTTTCACAAGGAGCTCTACTGCTACTAATAACTGCTGATTAATGTTAAAATTTCTCTGTTGAAACATCATCGATGAGTTCATTAAGTAATTTATACTCACCCTAACATAACAAGTCTAAAGCAGTTCTTCGGCGGCGGTGCGGTCTCCTCACATCCTTGTGGCAGCGATGCGCTCGGTCCCGGCGTTGATGCCCGCTCCAACTCCGGTTCCTCAGTACCAGCTCCTCGTCGACACAGCCACGAAGTTCCGCACTTGTCCCGTGCATCTTCTGTAGGGGCAGCGAACTGGCAACGTCGCGGCGAACGCTGACGACCCGTAGTCGATAGCGCAGATTTCAAAGGCGATGTAGGTGCTCGAACAGGACTTGGTGAGGCCCTTACGGGACTAGGTGAAGCCCTGATTGGGGAAGTAGACACTTTAACTGGCGACGACTGAAGCGACACACGGTCTGCTGTCCCGTTCAACATTTTCGGTCCAATCCACCGCAATGAGTTTTCATACTTTGTACGTTTTTTGTTTTCATTTATTTTTTATATAAGTTTGAGTTCTTTTCAGGTGTTGTAATGCTTATTTTGTTTCATTGTGTAAGCTGGTAAAATTACATGTGAAAAAACGAGCCTTCAAAAGTCGTATCAAGAGCCTAATGCTTGAATTGCACAATTATCGTAACCACATTTACAACAACTGACTCACCGTCACCTGTCTTTCGATCATATGTTAAAGATAAAAGAACACCTGATTGTGTTAGTCACAAAGTTTTATTATTAATCCTAGCAACTTGAACATAACGCTTGTATGGTCCACCATCCGACTCGAAGGACCAAATGGTTGGATCTTTGAACGTCTAAGCTTTGCAGTAGTAGTTAAGTAGAGTAGGATGTTGAGTTGACGACGACGTGGAGATGACCACAATTTCCGTAACAAGTAGATGTATCAAGTAAACGTGCACGGTGTAAATTTAATTGCTGTGGTCGATCGCTAGGGAGGCGAGTAATGAACAGTCTTTTATGACCATTTACACGTGCGATGAGTAGGTTGTTAAGTTAGCAAAAATATTGTACGGTGCAAAAACCGTACAACGCTGTAATATTATTTCGACCCAACTACATTGGCACTCGAGCTACATTCGCACGACATCACATCTGCAAAATAGCATTGGAATACAGTCGAAAAGCAGTTTAAGTGTAGTGCGGCGAGCGTGCAGTTGTATCAACAGCATCATAACTATAAACAAAGTCTATTAGTAATTGGCAACCACCATGCAGTAGTATCCACTGCACATTAACTGTTTTTTTGTAATTGAATATGTTTACCTAAACGCGATCGATAAAAATATCAAGGTTAAAATCGAACAAATCTACGCCTGATTTAAATTCCACACTATCGAAAGACAAAAATTACGTTGACGATGGTCTGCAGCTTAACATTTATGCGATTTCGTCTGATAAATGTGTCTATCGTCAAAAACCAAGCAAATAGGTATCTCATCGTGCAACAACACCTGTAAACGTATTCTTACACTTCCGTCATCTGCGAGTTCCCAAATCTTTAAATTACAAGACGTCACGTCATTTTATTACACACTTAACCACATGTCTTCTGAGTCTAGACCCTTGTCACGTCAAAACTCAATCTTGGAGCGACAGTTTTCAATAGCACGTCGATAGTAAACGAGATTTCTGGATATCGTCATTTTGAGTTATGCTGAATTTGTACAAATGTTTCACATACGTTTCATCGTTTTTATTCCACATGGTTATTAATTTCAAATAAAAAGCAGTTCAAATTTTTTCAGTGGATTGTGTGATAAAGCTGCTAAATTCGAAAAGAGGTGATGAGTGGTTTCGAATATTAAATTGCAGTCTCAAAAGTTTTTTAATATGGTTCTGGTTTGGGTGTTCTTAACGCCCTAAGGGTTTCTTTAATCTGGTTCTCGTTAATATTAAAAACTCAAATTCTAACCTCGAAAGAAAGGCCCAAAGAGCTAACTCAAACGTCGCCGTCGGTGATAAATGAACTTAATAATTCCAAATTTTTCTTATAAAAAGAATTGTTATAATATACTTTTTAAACATAGATAGATGGGAATGTCGGATGCAGATATTAAAAAATATGCGGATGCGGATGCCCACATCTGTGGCATCCTAACGAATGCCTATGCTTCTATGGTATGCATGGTAAGTCGATGAGGTGAATGATTTGTAATTACTAAATGGGATACAAGAGCAAAGATTGTACAATATTAAAAACATGATAAACGTCCGCTATCGAATGGTTTTGAATTGGCCACCTGTGATACGACACGCTCCAGTGGCTCTTATCTGAATTCACTGTCCACGGGCGATCATGTCGAAACGGCCATGTATCCCTATAGGCTATTAGATTGCTTTACATTATTAACATCGTGGAACCCATTGCCGCTAGGTATCCATCCCGTGTATCGGGTTGATACCTATAATAATTGGGTTGTAGAATCAGGAGTTCTGACGTTTATGGCACGTTGGGGTCACCCGATTTAGAATCAATGGTGAGTAGGCAATGAATGAATGAACTAATGATATTTATTTGCTTAAAATGTGGTTTGATTAATTATACTTTAAAAAATCGAACTCTAAATTTTGCTACAGCGTGAAACACACTGACAGCGGGTGCGGGTCGGGCCCGCGTCGGGTCGGGTGCACGGCAACACGACATCCGCTTTCGCTGTGTTTGTTACCGCGGTCTCTTTAACTATATTGAAACGCATATGGAAGTCCTCGTCAAAATTAATCATTTGACCCCAAAAACAAGGTAACTGCTCTACATTGTTGAGGATTTCCTGCCTTTCTGCTGTTCCTTTGAGTCCGCAATTTCCATTTGTCATTTGTCTCAGCTATAGAGAACCATAACATTTTATTTTTATTGGAATTACATATATTTGCTAAGTTTTATTGAAATCGGTTAATGGAAAGTGGGTGAAATCCGATAAACCGGAGTCATCCCCTAATTTGCCGCCCTTAGAAATGAAATATTTTCTTCAAAATATATAATTTGAATGTGAAAAAAGAATCATCGAAATCGGTTTACAAATATCGAATTAACAAAAAAACACTCGAATTGATAACCTCCTTCCTTTTTAAAGTCGGATAAAAAGGTAAAATACATAAGCGCGTTTGCTCCGAGACTTTACAAATCTAGAAAATTCGGACCCACTTCGGATATCGTTTGTGCACTATAAGTCCGATTCGGATCCAAGAAAATACGAAACTACGAATTTTTATAATATGTTTTATATTCGAAAATAGAGAAAATACAAATATCGCTTGTACACTTAGAGATAAAATTATCCCTATTGCAGTTCGGATCGTCATTTCTCCGATTCGGAACTAATACGAATCGGACATAGTGTGCAACCGCCTCATATTTTTAACCAACTTCAAAAAAGGAGGAGGTTCTCAATTTTTTTTTGTATGTATGTTACGCGATAACTCCGGTATTTGTGTTGGAAAGGGGGTACTTCCATAGTGGTCCCATTTCATTTTGAAGAAAATCATTCACCTTTAAGGGTGGCTGTTCACGCATGGAAATTCATTTTTATAAATAGCTAACTTTAATTTAGGAGCAATTATTTTAATGGTTAATTTTGCTGTTTCTCCAATTCAAAGCGTTTTTCTCTCGATATACTTTGAGTAGTGAGGACCGATTATTATTATTTCCAGTGTCAAGTCCTGTACAGTGGCGAACTAGGGAATATTTCAATAAAACTTAGCAAATAGACGTAATTCCACGTACTTTTGAGGTCGGTTTTTTTAATACTCTGTACTGAGATTATATCATCTACATTTTGGCAGCTAAACAATTCTAAATCAATTTCTTTAAGTATTAAAAGAGTTATTAACATATTATCATAATAAGCTATTGTTATGTAAACAAAAATACTAAGTAGCGCAAGGAGAGAAATGAGCAAAATAATGGCGCGATCAAATGATAAATGTGAGAATGAAAAAGGCCCGCTCTGAATCTTAGCTGGTTCAAACGTCCTCATAACACTGGCAGCGTTACCGCGCTAAAAGTGATAAATTATATATGTAAAACTCAGGGGCTGAATATCAAAAAACCTTATCTAGCTGTCACAAAACAAACAAACATCGCACTCTTAGTGTAATAAGACAACAACTTTTGAGGAAGGAGGCTTAAAGATTCTACGGACGAAATTAGTCAACTTTTTCATGCTTATTAGCCGCTCACGCGATGCGCTCCTCCTACCGCAAAATGGCGGCTATTTGGTTTCGCAAATTAGAAAAGCATTCAGTTTAAATACAAGTTTTTATAAATAAAAATTATTATACTGCATTGCTAAATATATACCTCCGTACTACCAACAAAAACATCTCAAATAAAATGCAGTAATACACCGCAAATCCTGCACTTAAAAAGCACTAATGAAATTGTTGGTGTACTTGGATAAATATGATAATATTCCGTTTGAGTGGTTCTAACGTTTACCATGAAATTACTCCTTAAAGTATAGTTTATAAACATTTATATTCAGGGTAAACTTAAAAAACGCTACTTACGGTATGTTTTCAATAAATAAACACCGAAATCACCAGCTCAAACAATAACACACACGATAGTCGTGACGTATTTTTGAAGTAAAGTAAGTTGTTTATTTTTTTAAATGATAGACCCAGGCATTAAAAACTTTATGGTTTGCTAGAGTAGTTACCGAAATAGCAATTAATATTAATTCTTTTACCTGTTATAACTTTGATATCCGATAAATCGGTATAAAATCATCACCGGCACCTCTAGGTGTGGTATGCGTCTACGGCTGCATGTATCGCGTGAGCGACAGGAGTGTTATAAAATTTCACATAAACATAATTTGTTTCATTTGTTATTATTTATTTTATAGACAAAGTGCATCAACAGTAGTACATATACTCTTAGAGGACAGTGTAACTTTACATTAGGATTGTACTTATATGTCTACCTACTACAGACGTACACAGCATTTATGGAGAACTTATGCATTACTGGGGAAACGATTCGAGAATGTTTTTTTTTAAACATTACAGTAAGAATGAAAAAGTCAATGTCTATTCGAACGTTAATTTGGTTGTAAGTAGAGTATAATCTAGGTAGTGGACTGTGCAGAGTGTGGAGACTGTGGAGAGCAGACTTTCATATATGATAAAAGCACTTTTGACATATAATCACATAGGGTACGACATATGAGTTCCTAGACAACCCACTTCTCAGCATAGATGTCCTCTAACGAGATGGTTTCAGCCATAATCTCCACGCTTGCCTATTTCGGATTAGAGTCACAATTAGGTATTCCAAGATATTTGTGTAAACCTTCTCCAATATGCAGTTTTTCCTAAAGATGTTCCTTAATCTTAAGTGCACTAGAATTGTAAAACTCGGTGACCTTGGCCTCAAATCAAACTCGAACCTTATTACGTAGAATATACATAAGTGC